TTCAGGCTTCTTCTTTCCAATTGCTTAAATTGGAAAATTAACTGCGATGATCATTCTTCACTTTAATGTATATTTATCTTTTTCAGACATCGATGAATGTGCGAAAAAAAAATGGTGGATGTTCCCACAGGTGTTTAAACACAAAAGGAAGCTTCGCTTGTTCTTGTCCAGACCCCGAGCTGAATTTGGCTCCAGATCTTCGGACATGTGTAGGTAAGATATTGCTCTGTTAGTCAAGTATCTCATCTCATCTCATTCCTCATCTTGCCTCGTAGGACAACTAAGACCATTCAGAAATGCTTTCCACCCATCCCGGTCTTTCGCAGATGCTGTTGCAGCCCCCAATGACTGCCATCCCATCTCCTTCCGCTCTCTCTCTCTGCACTCCTCCTCCAGGTCGTTCGTGGCCTGCCCGGTTTTCTTTTGCCTTCTGGTGCCCAATTCATTGCAGTTCTGGCGATGTTATTGCCGTCTTTCCGCAGGAGATCCATTTCCGAGATGTCCAATCCATTTCCATCTCCGTATCCTTATCTTCACCGACAGTTGCAGCGTATTGGTCCGTCTGTACAACTCCTCATTTGAGAGTTGGTTTGGCCAGAAAACTCTCTGTATTTTTCTCATGCATTTCCTGAGAAACGCATCCAGTGTTTTCATGTCTGCAGCCGTGATTCTCCACATCCCTGCCCCATACAGTAAGATGGCCACTACACTGGTGTTGAAAATGCGCAGCTTAGTTTTAGAGCTGTACTTTGATGATTTCCATGGGGGCTGTAGTGTGGCAAAAGCACTCCTTGTAAGGGCCGGTCTTCGTTTGATGTCTGCCTTCGTGCCGCCTTGCTTATCTAACACTGCGCCGAGGTAGGTGAATGCTTTAATGTCTTCTAACTCATTGCCGCCAACAGTGATCAGGTCGTTCTTTTTGCAGTTCAGGCACATGGTCTTGGTTTTGCTGGGGTTGATGTTAAGACCCACCGCTTTACCTATGTCATGAAGCCGGGATGTCTTCTGCTGGATGTCATTGTGTCTGCTTGCCAAGAGTGTAATATCATCCGCATAGTCCAGGTCTTCTAGGACAGTGGTAAGTGGATTAGTTAAGTTAAAGTATACATGCAAATAAATTACTGAAGGACATCTTCTTTAGTTTCGAAACATCGTAGCTTCCAGTGTCTCAGTGAAATGCCGCAAAATTAACATGTTAATAACCTTGCCCAAGAAACTCCTCCTAGGTTTGAACTGTGAACATGTCACGCTCCGAAACGTAAACTGCGTTGCTACAGAAACGAACACCCACTACACCCTTGAGACGGCATTAACTGGCTGTGGAACGACAGCCAGGTATAGGAAAGGTGCCGTGGTCTACAGCAACACTGTCTTGGAAATTCCAGTGAAAGATGACGCCATTATAACGAGAGTACGCGAGATTAAGATTACAAGAACTCTGGTGATGCTACTGCTGTTGGAGTCAGACCTGATACCAGGAAATAAGTCTTTGATGATGGAAAGGGAAGCTTTACAGTTGTTCTGGGCATGTGTACAGATGACAAGTACGTATGAATATAGTTATATACACCGAGCAAGATCAGGAGTATGGTCTAGTCTTGCCCAATTGCGCAAGCAGCAAGGCCTGATTTTGGATCAACATGCTCTTTGCATGGGGTTTTAGTACGTGTTCTACCTAAAATCAAAGTAGTACTTTAATTTCTGACACCAAAACAACAGATTGCATTTGAAGTTCAAGAGTATCATAACTAGCTAAGTCTAAATGGACATTTTATGCAGCTAATGAACTAATAGGTACATAAAGAAAAAAGTGCGTGCTAATCCTTTTTTGTTTGTTCATACCAGGTTCATATCAGCCTACACTCAAAGTGACTTCCCCGTTCAGGCAAAACTTAGCCAGGATTTGTTCTTCCAAGCAACCGTCACGTCCTAGGACAAACTCCTTTCACTCTTAGCGGAGAACTGTTACGCCACTCCTTCACAAGATCTTCAACATGCCGACAAATATGGTCTGCACAAGAACGGGTTAGTTGTGAATTTGACGAGACGTCGACAGTTTTATTTTCTGTATTGGTAAATTAATTTAACATTAAAATAGCACAAACAATTACGATCCAATCACAATTGCGTCACAATTGTCTCTCAGGTTTGGAAGATCTTCAAAATGCAAAATCAAACTTTACTGCACGTCTTAACCATAGATGATTTTAAAAAGCGTGCTTGAAACTTCGTGGTTAAAATTTAAATTAACACGAATAATTAACAAAAGCACCCCAACTTATCGACGAAAGTTGGTCAGAGTTCTTGGATTGTTTTCATATTTCAACTAGTAGATATGGCTGGATTTTTGAAAACTTTTTCAACACTTTACACCAAATCATCTGATATGTACTTTGATTTCACGACTCCTAAAGGCCTTGAAATCACCCCAAGCGATGAAAAAAAATAGAGCGAAAACGGCAAGAAAAGGAAGACAAGAAAGCAGAGGAAAAAAAAAGACTGACGTTCCTTTAAATTTTGATATCGTCTACTTTGGAAATCCTTTAACACTGTACATATATATTTTCCAATCAAATCTTGCAGAAATTTATTTCAAAGAGGATGAAAGTTTCGTCCAACAACCATAGAAGACACTGATGTAATATGGTTTGGGAACTTGTAGATGCCCTGTGGATGCAACGATCAGTGTTATTCCTTTGAATCAAGTTGGCATCTCCCGATTCACCACTATAGATTTACATGATTTCTTTTCACCAGTTTAAACCTCAAAATTGTAAAACAATAAAAATGCAAACAAGATATAAATTTCCAACCATATTTATTCGTTGTAATAATGGGCAAAAAGTTAATGGTAATGTTTTGAGAAATAGGTGTTGGGTCATTCGAAATGTAATATTGGAATATTTTAGGTGTTTAAAAAAATGTTCCCTTTTCTTACCGTTGTTGATGTGTACGCAGGTGCTGCGTTTCCTAGGAACTACTTCTTCAGTGAAATATGTGTAAATTACTTGACCGTTGTTAAACTGGAAATGGTGCCATGTAATCTAACTATTTTGAAAATGTAGTGTCTACTTCAATAATTTGTAGCCGATTCTTGGGAGGATGCCTTGGTACATTCATGTTCTGCGAGCACCGTTGCTGCACTGCATGTTTTCGGTTTAGCTGCGTTGTCCAGCAACTCGTTTGTTTACTCGCGGGNTTCTCTTAGGGAATGAACTGTTTAAGTTTTTCTTAATAATTAAAACTGCTTTACTTATCTCATGAAAAGAGACTGCTAAGCTCTCAGACTTAAAAATTTGTCGGGATATAAACTTAAGCATAAACAACGTGCTTCACGAAAGTCGAAAAATCATCAATAGTTTAGTTATGCATAAGGGGAACCCCCCTATTTAATTACTTGTTATTCAACTTCCTGTTTCACTTTGTGCTGTAGTCGGACACACGGTGAAGTAAGATGCGCAAAATTTTTTCGATTTAGAAACTCCAACTTTTCAAGTGTTTTGCTGAGAACTTTTTTCCATAGGCTACCGAGTCATCTGAATCATAGTTTTCTATCTGGTCACCTGAGTTGAACGTCTGAGGTAGATATTCGATACATAATAGATGCATAACCTTCACGTGTTGACGGCGCATTTTGAATCCATCCGCATTGTCTGTATCTTAGATCTGTTTTCTCGTGGGCAATGAAAAGTTCATATTTGCCTAATGGTTAAAAATGATGCTGTAGTATGTGTTTTTTCTACAACGTTACTCTTTCACATACTGATTTCACATCCAGAAATTGGGAAAGCGACCACTTGATATTACTGAAGCCATTTGAGGGTCATTGAACTTCCCGTATCAAAATCAACTTTATAGCAGAATATTCAATTGTTTCTTAGTCTGTCTATTAATTTTCTCAAAGGGCGACTGTTTGTATTTGAAAGGGGAAGGAGGCAAGTTAGGTGATCTTAGTGGAGCTATGTCCTTTATTTGAATTTTAGTGGTGTTTATGTGTATTTTTGTTCATGACGTTACTCACTAGTGACTGAGAATTGCTCATTGTCACGATATATCCTTAAAAGTAATCAAGTGTGAAAAAAAGTCTGAAAGAAAACAGTAAACTGCGATAGTCTTTTGCTGTTGAAGGGGATTCGGTGATATTTGTAAAATAGCCAGGGAGGAAGCTGTATTTTCAGCTCTCCTGAACAGGGGTGGAGGGAAGGGAGTGAAATAGCTGTCACTGTCAGTCGTGTGGTGTTTAAATAGTTTGACAATAAGGGTGTACTCCTAATCAAGGTTGAGCAACTGACTAAAAATACCAACAAGTGCAAAGGAAGTCAGCAAGTAACATTCAGGCGTTCTTTTGTCCCTTTGTGTTACACTATTGATCACGTGTACAAGCCAGATTATTATTATGAGGTCACGAGCCAGATGCGCTGATCTCTCATGAATGAGGGAAAAACCCCTATTTCATTATTTGTAATTCAAATTTTGGTTTCGCTTTCAGTCATTTGGCATTTACATAATTTGAAAACAAGGTTGTATTCGTAATCAAAGATGAAAGACTGACTAAAAATACCAACAAGTGCGAAGAAACTAATCAAGCAACTAACATACAGGAGACTTATGTCCCTTTCCGCCTACACTATTGATCGCTTGTGCAAGTCAGGTTAATATTATGAGATCACAAGCCATATCACTGCGCTGATCTCTCATGTATGGAATAAGGGAAACCCCCTCTTTGATTATTGTTTTTGTAAATCAACTTTTGATTTCACATTTAGTCGTTTCGCAATGCTCGTAAGGTTGGTTGCGCAGAAGTTTAGTCCCTTCATAAACTCAGACGTTTCCAGTCTCGTGTAGTAATTGCTGTAATCTTTTCTTCATTGGCTACCGAGTCATCTGAATCATAGTTTTCTGTCTGATCAGCTGAGGTGAAGGTCTGAGGCAGGTATTCGATACGACATATATTTTTAATCTTTGTTGACGCATTTTGAATCCATATGTATTATTTGTATTTTAGATCTGGTTTTTGGTGGGTTATGAACTGTTCATATTTAAATGTTTTAATTATATAATGAAAAGAAACTGCTAAGCTCTCATACTTGCATACTGTCTACATATAAACTTAAGCATAAACAACGTGCTTCACGAAAAGTCGAAAAATAATTTATAGTCCAGTTATGCATGAAATGAGGGGAACCCCCCTCCCGATTTAATTAGTTATTCAACTTTCTGTTTCACTTTTTGTCATGTCCCAACACACGGTAAGGGAAGGTGCGCAGAAGTTCCTCCATTCAGAGACTCCAGCTGTTCAAATATTTCAAATTTAATTGCTGTAAACTTTTCTCCATAGGCTACTGAGCCATCTGAATCATAGTTTTCTGTCTGATCAGCTTAGCTGAAGGTCTGAGGTAAGCATTCGTTACACGACATATGTTTAAACTTTGACGAATTTTATTTCCATATGTACTGTCTGTATTTTAGATCTCGTGGGGAATGAACTGTTCAAATTTTGCTTAATTGTGAAAAATACTGCTGTTGTATAAATTTTTTTTCCTACAACGTTACTCAGTCATATGAATTTAATGTCCACAAATTGCGAAAGCAACCACTCGATATCACTGAAGTTCATTGAAGGTCATTCAACTTCCCACATCAACTCAACTTTATACCCGGATATTCAACTGTCTCTTAGTTTAGTTAATTCTCAAAGGGCGACTGTCTGTATTTCAAAGGGGAAGGAAGCAAGTTAGGTGATCTTACGGCAGAACTTTCGTCTTCTCAGAAACTTCGACTTTTCCAATATTTCTCGACAAACCATGCGGTAATTGCTGTAATCTTTTCTATATAGGCTACCGAGTCATTTCAACCATAGTTTTCTGTCTGATCAGCTGATGCGAAGCTCTGAGGTAGGTATAAGAAACGACATATGTTTAATCTTTGTTGACGCATTTTGAATCTACAGGTATTGTCGACGTCTGTATTTCAGATCTGGTTTCTCTTAGGGAATGAACTGTTTAAGTTTTTCTTAATAATTAAAACTGCTTTACTTATCTCATGAAAAGAGACTGCTAAGCTCTCAGACTTAAAAATTTGTCGGGATATAAACTTAAGCATAAACAACGTGCTTCACGAAAGTCGAAAAATCATCAATAGTTTAGTTATGCATAAGGGGAACCCCCCTATTTAATTACTTGTTATTCAACTTCCTGTTTCACTTTGTGCTGTAGTCGGACACACGGTGAAGTAAGATGCGCAAAATTTTTTCGATTTAGAAACTCCAACTTTTCAAGTGTTTTGCTGAGAACTTTTTTCCATAGGCTACCGAGTCATCTGAATCATAGTTTTCTATCTGGTCACCTGAGTTGAACGTCTGAGGTAGATATTCGATACATAATAGATGCATAACCTTCACGTGTTGACGGCGCATTTTGAATCCATCCGCATTGTCTGTATCTTAGATCTGTTTTCTCGTGGGCAATGAAAAGTTCATATTTGCCTAATGGTTAAAAATGATGCTGTAGTATGTGTTTTTTCTACAACGTTACTCTTTCACATACTGATTTCACATCCAGAAATTGGGAAAGCGACCACTTGATATTACTGAAGCCATTTGAGGGTCATTGAACTTCCCGTATCAAAATCAACTTTATAGCAGAATATTCAATTGTTTCTTAGTCTGTCTATTAATTTTCTCAAAGGGCGACTGTTTGTATTTGAAAGGGGAAGGAGGCAAGTTAGGTGATCTTAGTGGAGCTATGTCCTTTATTTGAATTTTAGTGGTGTTTATGTGTATTTTTGTTCATGACGTTACTCACTAGTGACTGAGAATTGCTCATTGTCACGATATATCCTTAAAAGTAATCAAGTGTGAAAAAAAGTCTGAAAGAAAACAGTAAACTGCGATAGTCTTTTGCTGTTGAAGGGGATTCGGTGATATTTGTAAAATAGCCAGGGAGGAAGCTGTATTTTCAGCTCTCCTGAACAGGGGTGGAGGGAAGGGAGTGAAATAGCTGTCACTGTCAGTCGTGTGGTGTTTAAATAGTTTGACAATAAGGGTGTACTCCTAATCAAGGTTGAGCAACTGACTAAAAATACCAACAAGTGCAAAGGAAGTCAGCAAGTAACATTCAGGCGTTCTTTTGTCCCTTTGTGTTACACTATTGATCACGTGTACAAGCCAGATTATTATTATGAGGTCACGAGCCAGATGCGCTGATCTCTCATGAATGAGGGAAAAACCCCTATTTCATTATTTGTAATTCAAATTTTGGTTTCGCTTTCAGTCATTTGGCATTTACATAATTTGAAAACAAGGTTGTATTCGTAATCAAAGATGAAAGACTGACTAAAAATACCAACAAGTGCGAAGAAACTAATCAAGCAACTAACATACAGGAGACTTATGTCCCTTTCCGCCTACACTATTGATCGCTTGTGCAAGTCAGGTTAATATTATGAGATCACAAGCCATATCACTGCGCTGATCTCTCATGTATGGAATAAGGGAAACCCCCTCTTTGATTATTGTTTTTGTAAATCAACTTTTGATTTCACATTTAGTCGTTTCGCAATGCTCGTAAGGTTGGTTGCGCAGAAGTTTAGTCCCTTCATAAACTCAGACGTTTCCAGTCTCGTGTAGTAATTGCTGTAATCTTTTCTTCATTGGCTACCGAGTCATCTGAATCATAGTTTTCTGTCTGATCAGCTGAGGTGAAGGTCTGAGGCAGGTATTCGATACGACATATATTTTTAATCTTTGTTGACGCATTTTGAATCCATATGTATTATTTGTATTTTAGATCTGGTTTTTGGTGGGTTATGAACTGTTCATATTTAAATGTTTTAATTATATAATGAAAAGAAACTGCTAAGCTCTCATACTTGCATACTGTCTACATATAAACTTAAGCATAAACAACGTGCTTCACGAAAAGTCGAAAAATAATTTATAGTCCAGTTATGCATGAAATGAGGGGAACCCCCCTCCCGATTTAATTAGTTATTCAACTTTCTGTTTCACTTTTTGTCATGTCCCAACACACGGTAAGGGAAGGTGCGCAGAAGTTCCTCCATTCAGAGACTCCAGCTGTTCAAATATTTCAAATTTAATTGCTGTAAACTTTTCTCCATAGGCTACTGAGCCATCTGAATCATAGTTTTCTGTCTGATCAGCTTAGCTGAAGGTCTGAGGTAAGCATTCGTTACACGACATATGTTTAAACTTTGACGAATTTTATTTCCATATGTACTGTCTGTATTTTAGATCTCGTGGGGAATGAACTGTTCAAATTTTGCTTAATTGTGAAAAATACTGCTGTTGTATAAATTTTTTTTCCTACAACGTTACTCAGTCATATGAATTTAATGTCCACAAATTGCGAAAGCAACCACTCGATATCACTGAAGTTCATTGAAGGTCATTCAACTTCCCACATCAACTCAACTTTATACCCGGATATTCAACTGTCTCTTAGTTTAGTTAATTCTCAAAGGGCGACTGTCTGTATTTCAAAGGGGAAGGAAGCAAGTTAGGTGATCTTACGGCAGAACTTTCGTCTTCTCAGAAACTTCGACTTTTCCAATATTTCTCGACAAACCATGCGGTAATTGCTGTAATCTTTTCTATATAGGCTACCGAGTCATTTCAACCATAGTTTTCTGTCTGATCAGCTGATGCGAAGCTCTGAGGTAGGTATAAGAAACGACATATGTTTAATCTTTGTTGACGCATTTTGAATCTACAGGTATTGTCGACGTCTGTATTTCAGATCTGGTTTCTCTTAGGGAATGAACTGTTTAAGTTTTTCTTAATAATTAAAACTGCTTTACTTATCTCATGAAAAGAGACTGCTAAGCTCTCAGACTTAAAAATTTGTCGGGATATAAACTTAAGCATAAACAACGTGCTTCACGAAAGTCGAAAAATCATCAATAGTTTAGTTATGCATAAGGGGAACCCCCCTATTTAATTACTTGTTATTCAACTTCCTGTTTCACTTTGTGCTGTAGTCGGACACACGGTGAAGTAAGATGCGCAAAAGTTTTTCGATTTAGAAACTCCAACTTTTCAAGTGTTTTGCTGAGAACTTTTTTCCATAGGCTACCGAGTCATCTGAATCATAGTTTTCTATCTGGTCACCTGAGTTGAACGTCTGAGGTAGATATTCGATACATAATAGATGCATAACCTTCACGTGTTGACGGCGCATTTTGAATCCATCCGCATTGTCTGTATCTTAGATCTGTTTTCTCGTGGGCAATGAAAAGTTCATATTTGCCTAATGGTTAAAAATGATGCTGTAGTATGTGTTTTTTCTACAACGTTACTCTTTCACATACTGATTTCACATCCAGAAATTGGGAAAGCGACCACTTGATATTACTGAAGCCATTTGAGGGTCATTGAACTTCCCGTATCAAAATCAACTTTATAGCAGAATATTCAATTGTTTCTTAGTCTGTCTATTAATTTTCNGTTAGCCTAATTGACAGATTGACATTGATTTGATGGATGACGTGGTTGTCCCTTTAAGAGGAACGTGACGAGTTAGCTCCTAGTAGTTGTAGTAATTGCCATAACCAGTCAAGAGCAACAAGTAAGAGAACGTTGTGAGTATTGTACCGAAGTCATCAGTAGTGGAAATAAAAAGAGAAGCAACCAAACAAAGAGTGTTGGAGTGATCAGCTAATTTCCCCAAAGGTCGCTTTAACAAAATACTAAGAAAACTGTAGTAATTAACAACTGGATCATTGGATACTGTAATTGGAGGGTTTCATTGGCTTAGCCATCATGGGTTATGAACCATTATAACATGCTCTACAAATATGGTAAGCGTACATGTACGTGTTTATTTTCATTTTAGTTTAGTTTCCTATATTTTGGGGGCGCTTTAATTAAACAATTATTCTACTAGCGCTTGTTAGATATCAGATGAATATATCTGATATCCAACGCGCGCTCGTTTTGTAATCTCTAATTTCAGTCTCCGCGAGACGCGTCACGTACTTCTCGGAAACTTACCAAGATTGACTGAGAGAACAACAGAACAAACAACAGAAACAATGACCCTAAAAGCGTGATACCTATAATGTCCACGCCAATAGATTAGTCCAGTGTTTCAGTAACACAACTTTTAATCATCAACAACCATGATGATTCGAACAAACAACAACATGTAATTCGGAAAACTACTTTAAAAAATCTGAGTCCCGTATGTGACACCGCTGACCTACACGTGTCGACATTACAAGACCAGAGGCCAAGGATATTCGCCAAGTAGCTTGCGAGGAAGCTGTCTTTACGGCTCTTCTTAGCAGGGTGGGGAAAGGAGAACAAGGAGAACTAGCAAGAATGTGTCAAGGATTGACAAAGTTGTCAATCATTTGGCGTTTAGATCATTTGAAAATAAGGTTGGATTCGGCCTAATCAAAGATGAGAAACTGACTAAAAATACCTACCAGTGCAAAGAAAGTAATCAACCAAGTAACATACAGCCGACTTTTCTCCCTTTCTCCAACATTATTGATCACGTGTACAAGTCAGATTAATATTATGAGGACACGAGCCATACTATTGCACTGATCTATTATGTATATGGTATGATGAAAACCCCCTATTTGATTATAGCTTTTGTAAATCAAATTTCGATTTTACATTCAGTTTTTCTTACATTGGACGTAAGATTAGTCGCGCAGAAGATTTCGTCTTTTCAGAAGCTCTGACTTTTCCAATATTTTTCAACGAACCATGCGGTAATCACTGTAAACGTTTCTCCACAGGCTACCGAGTCATATCATCTGAATCATAGTTTTCTGTCTGATCAGCTGAGGCAAATGTCTGAGGTAGTTATTCGATGCGACATAAGTTTAATCCGGTTGACGCATTTTCAATTTATTTGTATTGTTTGTAGTTTAGATCTGGTTTTTGGTGGAGAATAAACTGTTCGTATTTAAATGCTTTAATTATCTACTGAAAAGAAACTGCTTAGCTCTCATGCTTGAAACCTATGTCGAGATATGAACTTAAGCATAAACAACGTGCGGCATGAAAGTCGAGAAATCAATTATAGTTCAGTTATGCATGAAATGAGGGGAACCCCCTCTCCCGATTTCATTTGTTATTTAACTTCCTGTTTCACTTTCTGTTGTGTTTCAACACGACGTAAGGTAACGTGCGAGGAGGTTCTTCTATTCAGAAACTCCAACTGTTCAAATATTTTAAATTTAATCCTTGTAAACTTTTCTCCATAGGCTACCGGCCATCTGAATCAAAGTTTTCCGTCTCATCAGCTGAGGTGAAGGTCTGAGGTAAGTATTCGATACGACATATGTTTAATCTTTGCTGACGAATTTTGAATCCATATGTACTGTCTGTATTTTAGATTTGGTCTCTCGTAAAGAATGAACCATTCACATTTTGTTTAATAGTAAAAAGTGCTGCTGTCGTATACATTTTTTTCCCACACTGCACTTGGTCATATTAATTTAATGTCCAAAAATGTCCAGAAGCAACCACTCAATATTACTGAAGTTCATTGAAGGTCATTCAACTTGCCATATCAACTCAACTTTATATCCGAATATTCAACTGCTTATTACTTTAGTTAAGTTTCAAAAGGCGACTGTCTGTATTTTAAAGGGAAAGGAGGCAAGTTAAGTGATCTTAGTAGAGCTATGTCTTGTATTCGACTTTTAGCGGCGTTTATGTGTATTTTGTTGATGACGTTACTCGCTGGTGACTGAGAATTGCTCATTGTCACGATATATCCTGAAAAGTAATCAAGTGTGAAAAAGAAAGAGCCCGAACGAAAACAGTAAACTGTGATAGACTTTCGTTGTTGTAGGGGTTTCTGTAATATTTGCGAGGAGGCCTGTATGGAAGCTGTTTTTACAGCTCTCCTGAGCAGGGTGGGGTTAGGGACAGCACGGAGAACTAGGCAGGATCTGTCAAGGATTGACATAGCTGATAGTCATTTGGTGTTTAAATACTTGCACCATAAAGTTGTATTCGTAATCAAAGATGAAAAACTGACAAGAAATACCAAGTAATCAAGTAATTAGCATACAGGCGACTTTTCGAATCCTTTCTCTTACACTACTGATCACGTGTACAAGCCAGATTAATATTATGAGGTCACGAGTCAGAGCGCTGATTTTTCATGGAATGAGGGAAAAACAACTATTTAATTATTTGTAATCCAACTTTTGGTTTCGCTTTCAGTCATTTTTCATACACGGTAAGGGTCTAGTCGATTCAGAAACTCAGACTTTTCCAATGTTTCTCAACGACTCGTGTAGTAATTGCTGTAATCTGTTCTCCATAGGTTAGCAAGTCTTCTGAGATCATCTGAATCATAGTTTTCTGTCTGATAAGCTGAGGTGAAGGTCTGAGCTGAGGTACGTTTTCGATACATCATAGATGCGTATAATCTTGGTTGACGCATTTTGAATCCATATGCATTGTCTGTATTTTAGATCTGGTTTTTCGTGGGGAATGAAGTATTCAAATTTTGCTTAATATTTAAAAGTGCTGCTGTTGTATGTGTTTTTTCTCAACTTGACTCAGTCATATGCTAAGATATCCAGAAATTGGCGACATTGATCACTTGATATCACTGAAGTTTATTGAAGGTCATTCAACTTCCCGTATCAAACGTGCTTTCCGGCCTCAACTTTATACGCGAATATGCCGGATTGTTTCGTATTCATTTTTCAAAGAGCGACTGTGTGTTTTTCAAAGGTGAAGAAGGCAAATTAGGTGATTTTATTGGAGCTAGTGGTATCCGACTTCTAGCGGTGTTAATGTGTATTTTGTTGATGACGTTACTCGCTAATGACCGAGAATTGCTCATTATTACGATACATCCTTTGAAGTAATTAAGTGTGATAAAGAAAAAGTCTGAACGAGAACAGTAAAGTGTGCTAGACTTTCGCTTTTGTTGGGGATTCTGTGATATTCGCTAAGTGACCTGCGAGGAAACTGTCTTTACAGCTCTTCTTAGCAGGGTGGGGAAAGGAGAACAAGGAGAACTAACAAGGATGTGTTACGTATTGACAAAAATAGTTGCATAATCTTTGTTGACGCATTTTGAATCCATACGCATTGTCTGTATTTTAGATCTGGTTTCTCGTGGGGAGTAAAGTTTACAAATTTTGTTTAATATTTAAAAATGCTGCTGTTGTATTTGTTTTTTTTTCCAACGTTACTCAATGTTTGATCTTGGTTGACGCATTTTGAATCCATTTGTATTGTTTGTATTTTAGATCTGGTTTTTGGTGGGGAATAAACTCTTCGTATTTAAATGTTTCATTATCCAATGAAAAGAAACTGCTTAGCTCTCATATTTGAAAACTCTGTCGAGATATAAACTTAAGCATAAACAACGTGCTGCACGAAAGTCGAGAAATCAATTATAGTCCAGGTACGCAGAAGTTTTTTTATTCAGAAACTCCAGCTGTTCAAATATTTTCAATTTAACTGCTTTAAGCTTTTCGCCATAGGCTACGGAGCCATCTGAATCATAGCATTCCGTCTGATAAGCTAAGGTAAAGGTCTGAGGTAAGTACTCGATGCGACAAATGTTTTAATCTTTGCTGACGAATTTAGAATCCATGTGTACTGTCTGTATTTTAGATTTGGTCTCTCGTACGAAATGAACAATTCATATTTTGCTTAATAGTGAAAAATGCTGCTGTTGTAATTATTTTTTCCTACACCGTACTCAGTCATAGTAATGTAATGTCCACAAATTGCAAAACAAACCACTTGATATCACTGCAGTTCATTGAAGGTCGATCATTCAACTTCCCATATCAACTCAACTTTATGCCCGAATATTCAACTGTTTATTAGTTTAGTTAAGTTTCAAAGGGTGACTGTCTGTATTTCAAAGTGGAACGAGGCAAGTTAGGTGATATTGGTGGAGCTACGTCGTGTATTCGACTTTTAGCGGTGTTTATGTGTATTTTGTTGATGACGTTACTTGCTGGTGACTGAGACTTGCTCATTGTCACGATATATCCAGAAAAGTAATCAAGTGTGAAAAGAAAGAGCCGGAACGAAAACAGTAAACTGTGCCGATAGACTTTCGTTGTTGTAAGGGTTTCTGTGATATTTGCAAAGGAAGCTGTTTTCACAGCTCTTCTGGGCAGGGTGGGGTAAGGGACAGCACGGAGAACTAGACAGAATCTGTCAAGGATTCACATAGCTAATAGTCATTTTGGTGTTTAAATACTTGCGCCGTAAAGTAGTATTCCTAATCAAACATGAAAAACTAACAAAAAATACCAAGCAATCAAGTAATTAGCACACAGGCGACTTTTCGAATCCTTTCTCTTACACTACTGATCACGTGTAAAAGCCAGATTAATATTATGAGGTCATGAGCCAGAGCGGTGATCTTTAATGGAATGAGGGAAAAACCCCTATTTGATTATTTGTAATTCAACTTTGGGTTTCGCTGTCAGTCATTTTCTATGCGCAGTGAGGGTCTAGTCGATTCCGAAACTCAGACTTTTGCAATGTGTTTCAACGACTCATGTAGTAATTGCTGTAATCTGTTCTCCATAGGCTAGCAAGGCTTCAAGACCATCTGAATCATAGTTTCTGTCTAATAAGCTGAAGTTAAGGTCTGAGCTGAGGTACGTATTTGATACACAATAGATGCGTAATCTTTGTTGACCCATTTTGAATCCATACGCATTGTCTAATTTCAGATCTGGTTTCTCGTGAGGAATAAAGTATACAAATTTCGCTTAATATTTAAAAATGCTGCTGTTGTATGTGTTTCTTCTAAACGTTACTGAATCATATGTGCAAAATATCCAGAAATTGCGACACACATCAATTGATATCACTGAAGTTTATTGAAGGTCATTCAACTTCCCGGCCGTATCAAACGTGCCTTCCGGCGTCAACTTTCTACTCGAATATTCAATTGTTTCGTATTCATTTTTCAAAGGACGACTGTGTGTTTTACAAAGGGGAAGGAGGCAAGTTAGGTAATCTTAGTGGAGCTTTGTCGTATCCGACTTTTACCAGTGTTTCAACACCGCTAAAATAAGTATTAAAATGTTTATTTTGTTGATGACGTTACTCTCTGGTGACCGAGAATTGCTCTTTGTCACGATATATCCTGAAAAGTAATCAACTTTGAGAAAAAGAAAAACGGCTGAACGAGAACAGTAGACTGTGATAGACTTTCGCTGTGTTGGGGATTCTCTGATATTTGCTATAAATTAGCTTGGGAGGAAGCTGTCTTTACAGCTCTTCTGAGCGGGGTGGGGAAAGGAGAACAAGGAGAACTAACAAGAATGTTTCACGGATTGACAAAGTTGTCAATCATTTGGCGTTTAGATCATTTGAAAATAACGTTGGATTCGGCCTCATTAATGATGAGAACTGACTAAAAATACCTACAAGTGCCAAGAAAGTAATCAACCAAGTAACATACAGCCGACTTTTCTCTCTTTCTTCTACAATATTGATCACGCGTACATGTCGGATTAATATTATGAGGACACAAGCCATACTATTGCACTGATCTATTATGTATGATATGAGGGAGAGCCCCTATTTTATTATAACTTTGTAAATCAAATTTCGATTTCACATTCATTTGTTTTACAATGGACGTAAGGTTAGTTGTGCAGAAGTTTCGTCTTTTCAGGAGCTCTGACTTTTCCAATATTTTTCAATGAACCATGCGGTAATTGCTGTAAACTTTTCTCCACAGGCTACCGAGTCATCTGAATCATAATTTTCTGTCTGATTAGCCGAGGCGAAGGTCTGAGGTAGTTATTCGATACGACATATGTCTAATCTTGGTTGACGCATTTTGAATCCATATGTATTGTTTGGTATTTTAGATGTGGTTTTTGGTGGGGAATAAACTGTTCGTATTTAAATGCTTTAATTATCTAATGAATAGAAGCTGCTTAGCTCTCATACTTGAAACCTCTGTCGAGATATGAACTTTAGCATAAACAACGTGCGGCACGAAAGTCGAGAAATCAATTATAGTCCAGTTATGGATGAAATGAGGGGAACCCCCCTCTCCTAATTTCATTTGTTATTCAACTTCCTGTTTCACTTTCTGTTGTTGTTCAACACACGGTAAGGTAAGGTGCGAAGAAGTTCTTATATTCAGAAACTCCAACTGTTCAAATATTTTAAGTTTAATTGCTGTAAACGTTTCTCCATAGGCTACCGAGCCATCTGAATCATAGTTTTCCGCCTGATCAGTTGAGGTGAAGGTCTGAGGTAAGTATTCCGTGCGAAATGTGTTTAATCTTTGTTAATGAAATTTGAATCCAAATGTACTGTCTTTATTTTAGAGTTGGTCTTTTGTAAGGAATGAACTATTCAAATTTTGCTTCATAGTGAAAAATGCTGCTGTTGTATACGCTTTTTTCCTACACCGTACTCAGTCATATTAATTTAATGTCCAGAAATTTCAAAAGCAATCACTCGATATGACTGTAGTTCATTGAAGCTCATTCAACTTCCCATATCAACTCAACTTTGTATCCGGATATTCAACAGTTGATTAGTTTAGTTAAGTTTCAAAAGGCGGCTGTCTTTATTTCAAAGGGGAAGGAGGAAAGTCAGGTGATCTTAGTAGAGCTATCTCGTGTATTCGACTTTCAGCGGTGTTAATGTGTATTTTGTCGATGACGTTACTCGCTGGTGACTTAAGAATTGCTCATTGTCACGACATATCCTGAAAAGTAATTAAGTGTGAAAAAGAAGAGCTCGAACAAAAACAGTAAACTGAGGTAGACTTTCGCTGTTGTAGGAGTTTTTGTGACATTCGCGAAGTAGCCTGCAAGGAAGCTGTCTTTACAGCTTTTCTGAGCAGGGTGGGGTAAGTGACAGACAGGACAACTAGGCAGGATCTGTTAAGGATTGACAGAGCTGATAGTCATTTGGTGTTTAAATACTTGCGCAATAAAGTTGTATTCGTAATTAAATATGAAAAACTAACCAAAAATATCAAGTAATCAAGTAATTAACAGACAGGCGAGTTTTCGAATCCTTTGCCTTACACCATTGACCGCGTGTACAAGCCAGATTAATATTTTGAGGTCACGAGCCAGAGCGGTGATCTTTCATGGAATGAGGGAAAAACCCCTATTTGATTATTTGTAATTCAAGTTTTGGTTTCGCTTTCAGTCATTTTCCATACACTGGAAGGGCCTAGTCGATTCAGAATCGAAACTCAGACTTTTCCAATGTTCCTCGACGACTCGTGTAGTAATTGCCGTGATCTGTTCTCCATAGGCTAGCAAGTCATCTGAGACCAATCAGCTGAGGTGAAGGTCTGAGCTGAGGTACGTATTTGATCCAAAATAGATGCATAATCTTTGTTGACGTATTTGAATCCATATGCATTGTCTGTATTTTAGATCTGGTTTCTCGTGGGGAATGAAGTATTCAAATTTTGCTTAATATTAAAAAATGTTGTATGTTTTTTTTTTCTCAACGTTACTCAGTCATTTGTATAAGATATCCAGAAATTGGCGACACTCATCACTTGATATCACTGAAGTTTATTGAAGGTCATTTAACTTCCCGTATCAAACGTGGTTTCCGGCCTCAACTTTATACCCGAATATGCGATTGTTTCGTATTCATTTTTCAAAGAGCGACTGTGTGTTTTTCAAAGGGGAAGAAGGCAAGTTAGGTGATCTTAGTTGAGCTATGTCGTGTATTCGGTTTTTAGCGGTGTTTATGTGTATTTTGTTTATGACGTTACTCGCTGGTGATTAAGAATTGCTCATTCTCAAGATATATCCTGAAAAGTAATCAAACGTGAAATAGAAAGAGCCGGAACGAAAACAGTAAACTGTGATATACTTTCGTTGTCTTAGGAGTTTCTGTGATATTTGCGAGGAAGCCTGCAAGGACGCTGTTTTTACAGCTCTTCTGAGCAGGTTTGGGTAGGGGACAGCAAGGAGATCTAGACAGGATCTAGATCTGTCAAGGACTGACATAGCTGATAGTCATTTAGTGCTTAAATACTTGGGGCGTAAAGTAGTATTCGTAATCAAACATGAAAAACTAACAAAAAATACCAAGTAATCCAGTAATCAGCGTACAGGCGACTTTTCGAATCCCTTCTCTTACACTACTGATCACGTGTACAAGCCAGATTAATATTATGAGGTCACGAGCCAGAGCGCTGATCTTTCATAGAATGAGGGAAAAACCCCTTGCTGTTTATTTGTAATTCAACTTTTAGTTTCGCTTTCAATCATTTTCTATGCACGGTAAGGATCTAGTCGATTTAGAAACTCAAACTTTTCCAATGTTTCTCAACGACTCGTGTAGTAATTACTGTAATCTGTTCTCCATAGGCTAGCAAGTCATCTGCGGCCATCTGAAGCATAGTTTTCTGTCTGATCAGCTGAAATGAAGATTTGAGCTGAGGTACGTATTCGATACATAATAGACGCATAATGTTTGTCGACGCATTTTGAATCCATACTCATTGTCTGTATTTTAGATCTGGTTTCTCGTGGGAAATGAAGTATTTAAATTGTGCTTAATATTTGAAAATGCTGTTGTTGTATGTGTTTTTTCTCAACGTTACTCAGTCTTATGCATAAGATATCCAGAAATTGTGACACTGATCACTTGATATCGCTGAAGTTTATTGAAGGTCATTCAACTTCCCGTATCAAACGTGCTTTCCGGCCTCAACTTTATACCCGAA